CCGCGAGCTACAACTCCCTCAGTCGACCTGAGACATTACGTCGAGTCGACTGGGTCGCACTCAACTGTTAGAAGACCCTAATACGTCTGACCGTTCTTACCAGAAGTCGACTTACTCTAATCGACAGGTGTACATTGACTCGGTCGAGAGCCGGGCTTCTTGACTGAGTATCATGGAACCTTACTAATAGAGTCGACCTTGATGAAGTCGACTCGGTAATCTCAAACCGCGACGATATGAACCGTTATGAGCCAATCATGATAATGCCGCGGTTACTGAATCGATGCACGACAGTATGGCTATATCAAATCCGAAGCACATTTCAGCAATAAACACACACACATAATTTTTTTTTTAAAAAAAAAAAGATTTTTGAAAGAAATAAAATATAAATATGTACATAGAATCTAAGACGATTTAGTGATAGACAGTAAACAAAGTTGGTTATGAAATAAACATCAGATTCAAGATTTAAGCCCCATACTCATACCTTCAGCTCATTCTCAGGTCACACATACAAATCGAAAAACCATACACCACATAACGTATGGGAAAACATAGAACGGAGATCGCTACAAGCCTAGGACTCAAGTTAGGTTTTCTCAGCATGAAACAGAGATTAGAGCAACAAAAAGATTATCAAAGGAAAACATAAGCATATAGCTAGGATAAAGAAGACAACTACTGTAGTATAGAAGGAGGTCGCAGAACCTTTTGCGGCTCTGCCACGGCTGTCGTGATTTTTTATGTTGCTGTTGTGAATGGAAAACCTTTCTAGAAAATGCTGAAAAGTGTTACATGGAATATACAAATGGCCATAATTTAATAGCCGTTAAATCAGAAGAAAAAAATATGGTGGTAAATCGGAGAAAAAGAATTCAAAGAACATCGCAGTCATTGTTATAGATACTGAAAGCCTAAGTAAGGCATGTGAGATAGTTTTACTAAACATCGTGACGAATAAAAATATTTCAAATGAATGCCTTCATACAGTAAATGAGCACTTACTCAGAGAAATGAAGTAACCACTCCCATCAGCTTGGTACCAGATAAACTTTTACTAACTTGACCTGCGCTTTCATAGATTTATAAGGGAAATATAAGCAATTTAACACTGCTATTCAAGCATCATTTTGCTTTAAACTGATTATTGTATGAAAACAAGAGCAAAGCTAAAGATAAAATAGCCACTTGGATATGAAGAATATCAAGTCCCATGATAAAGTGGAAAAAGTGGAACTTTTACGTTTTTTATAGGGGATCCAATGTCGTTAGACCTTGTTTTAAAGCGGCTACATAGGTTATATGCCTTTTTTTTTGTGGAGGAAAACCACAATCACGCTCCCTGGAGATAATTATAACAAAGATGGACAAACAAACAACAAAATTTTATTGTAACACATGTAGCTTGAAAGAATAAAATAGCATAAACAAACAATGCTATCATTGATCTCTCTTTTCTCTTTGGAAAGTCAACCCAACAATCAATCATTTATCAATATCTGAAAAGAAAAATAGGAATTGCTAGTTCTCAAATGGCACGGAAACTAAATTATGGTATGTCAAATACCTTCTTGATTACTTAATAAAATATAGTAATAAAATCTTGAGCAAACCCATAGCAATTTTAATATGAAATATAAGTTACTTTGGCATATGAATCACTTACATACCTTATAGACCATCTGATTTGGTTATGCCTTTCAGGACCTGTTCTTCAAGCCATACATGTTAATAGATAATTAATCCCCTTTATAAGATAATGTGCAACAAAGCAATCAAGAAAGATGAAGTTCGACGGAATCAAAATCTATGCAATAGTTCGTATGACATTATGAAGAATAAATGATAATATGCATGACAAATAATTGATTATTGAATCCCTTTCGCAATTACTAATATATCAAATAAGCACATACTAAAGGGGATATTATTATAAATTTCAAGACTTACAGTTCGCTTTTTAGCTAAGTCGGCCGCTCCATAAGTTTCGTAGCAATACCACCATAACACAACAAAGAGATCAGACCTTAGCCACTGCCTTCCACAAAGCTTGTTAATCCTTGAGAACATTTTCAAATGATCTATGGAGACCCCCCACAAGCATTTTCCTTCACAATCTTATCCAAAGAACTGAAACAGATATGCCTCCAATAGAAATTCCTCACCATAAACTGATTGAGCTTATTGTCATCGCCTGGGCGACCAAGGGTGGAGAATTTCTCGCCCATCTGCTGTGACTGGGCAACATGGGCATTGATACTCAGAATCTGATGCACCAGCAATAAGATCCTTAGGCACGTCATGTGCGACGACATGGGTCATACTATCCGGCTTGCATCTCTCACTCTGCCACTCCACCGCTCCGCGTGGCCCGCGAAGTGACTTGTGTGTTGTTGTATTTATCAGGTCCGCATAGTCAAACGGTGACGGGATGCCACGTGTAGTTTATCAACTCGCTCAACACAGACTGGGAAATCGCTAAAACATATAAACCATAGATTTTAAGTGCTCTCGCATTTAGATTTCAAGATCTAAATAAAGTCTTGGGATTAAAAGGTAAAGTTCTTTATTTTAAGGAATATATAAATACATGTAGCCATACCCTAGCAAATCCAGGCTCCATGCTTTCAGAAAGAACAACAACTGGTGACTCGCTTCCAGAAATGCACACCAACGTTTTTCATATAATCAGTGCGAATGAAATGATCATACCTTAATACAGGGAAAAAAAAAACAAAAAAAGATAAAAGGAAAAGAAATCAACACTTTTGATAAGTGGGCTTACAAATCACATCTCCAAAATACCAACATATACATATATACACATTGCTGGTACCCTTCTTAAGTCCCACAACCACAATTGGTGCTAGGTAAAAATAAAAACTGCAAAAGTTCAGGCATACCTCTCTCTGTCGCCAGTTCGCCGCCGCGTCAGGTCTTCTTCTCCGCAAAAATAATTCCAAATCCCTATCATAACCCCTATCAGGCTTCTTTCCCACCTCTCTCTCCCCCTCTCCCTCCTCTCTCTATCATCCAGCTCCCGCCTCACCTCGACATCTGCTTGCTTCCGCTTTCGCTCTCTCTCTCTCTTGTACTCCGTCCACTTGCAATTCGATGAGAGTCTACAACCATGATCCCCATTAGATCCATACCAGATCGATAAAAAATGAAGAAAAAAATACAGAGAAATTGGTCCAATTAAACGTAAAATAGATAAAACCAAATTATGGTCAGCTAGCCTACCAGCCACCGCCTGCCTCGACTGGCGAGTTGCGGTCAACTGCTAATCTGGACGGCGAGCGTAGCTCCACAACGCTGATCGCCGGTATGGAGATTCGACCAGCCATCCATCCATCAACCGCCGTGTATCGAAAAAATAAGGTGGAAAATTTGGGTTAAATCTATTGGGGGAGAAAAAAAAAAGAAAGAAGGAAACAGATAATGAAGAGTAATTGAGGGGAGAGGATAAAAGAAAAGGTGACAGGAGTACGTGATTTCCTTTTTTTGGGGAAAGATGGGACTGTTGCGTGTGTGACTCAAAAAGTGAACCGAAAAAAAAAAAAAAAAAAAATTGTTCTCCCCAAAAGAAAAGTAGAAAAACGGTGTCGTTTCTCGCACATAAATTAGCAAAAAAATAGTTGTGAATGGCAATGGCAATTGACGTAAATAATAGGAAAAAACAATGACATTTATGTCCGAAAATATTTGACACGTGTCATGCTCCTAACCCCTTACATTTTTGCTTATATGTAAGGGGGAGAAATAACTAAAATTTAGAGTTACATATAAAATTGATTTCAAAATAAAATCTTCAATATGATGAATTATTGATGAATATTGTTTTTTTAAAGCATATAAAAATTAAAATATAACTAGGTAGTCATTCAAAAAAAAAAATCTAAAAAAATACGAAATCTCCGAAGATCCGAACCAAACCATACCGAACCGAACCGTCCCAATAGTCCCAAATACCGAACCGAACCGAACCAAAAAATAAAAATCTCCGAACCGAACTGAACCGACTTTTGGTACGGTTCTGAAGATCGAATTTTGGGATCTCCGAACTTTGGTACGGTTCTGGAGATTTATCAATCTCCGAACCGTACCGACCCACGCTCACCTTAGCGAGTCGCTGCTCTCGATCTTCAGCTTTTAAAATATAATTTTTTAATTTTTTTTAATTAATTGTAAAATTATTAAAATACACCTGGGTTTTTACAAAATTTCAGGGGGGCCCAGTGCCCCCCCCCCCCTCCCCGGGCCCGCTACAGGTTCGTCTCTGCAGAAGGCGGTAGGTGTGTGCATTGTAGTAAAAATGGTGTTAATGATCGTCGGTCTTTGTTTGTCTTGCAAAATAATTTTGATGCCATACATCTTGTTAACTGGATTGATAATAATATGGTGTTTGGTTTATATATTTAACATATGGAAGACATGGATAGTCAACCTCTGATTGCTTGCCTCGATGAACCATTGGATTTTGTAGAGGAGTGTATTTTTAGGGAGATAAATAAGAATAGCACGAAGTATAGTAAACAGTAAATTCAAATGTAAGCACTCAAATGCAAAAACATAATTCTATAAAACATGAACCTTCAGTGAAGCATCTCACTCCCCTCCAAAACTCTTTCTATAAAACATGAATCTTCTCGGGAGCTAGCCTGTGTAGGCTCGATCATCAGTAGGCCTAAAAAAACCAAGCTCAATCAACCCTTTCGATAGAGGCAAGACGGGACGACTCGTAGACCCAAGCCCATTTTGACAAATCTATCTATAATAATGTTCGGACGGGTCTAGAGGATTAGAGATAAGTGTTGGGGCAAAGTCGTTGTTTATAAATATTACGATTTTTAAGTCACAGAGTCGGTGTCGTATAAATGAACCCAAACAACATAGATGGACGAAAATAACCCACATCACATTTCTGATTTCTCTCTGTGTCTCCTCCAATTTGTAGCTGTGAGAACAGATCCATCGAGAAAAATCATACAGGAAAAATGGCTCAGCTAGCTAGAATCGCCGGCCGCCGCATGCTCTCCCAGACGATGCCCTCCCACCACCGTGCCGCCCTCGCCTCCATCCACACCACCGTCCCTTCTCTCGCGGCGTCCTCTGGCTCCGCCCCCACTCCTTACGCCTCCGCCCGTCCTCCGGCGACTTTATCCCCGTCCGGCCTACCGAAGGCAGCGGAGTACGTGATTTCTAAGGTCGATGACCTCATGAACTGGGCCCGACGCAGCTCAATCTGGCCGATGACTTTTGGGCTGGCCTGCTGCGCCGTGGAGATGATGCACACCGGGGCCGCGCGCTACGATTTGGATCGATTTGGGATAATTTTCCGGCCTAGCCCTAGGCAGTCTGATTGCATGATTGTTGCTGGAACTCTCACCAACAAGATGGCACCTGCCCTCCGCAAGTGAGCTTCCATTTATATATTTATTCCTGATGAATTTCGAATATAATTTGGGTCTAATTTATGAGTATGCTAATTGAAATTGATCATGTAATTGGTTAAGGTAGGTCATGGAATTGATAAATTTCAGTATTTGAATACTCGAATATGTCTGGCCAATCCAAATTAGGGTCATTTCTGGTGGTTCCCTTTCATTTTTAATTTTATTTTTCTGCCCAGCATGTTATTTATTTTTATTATTTGATCTCTAAATGCTTTCAATTTTATCTACCAATATAAGTGTTAGAAATGGTTGCAAATCTTTTCAAGCAGAAGTAGGCCTGGGCTGTGGAGACATACCATGGACAAATATTTTCTTATATGAATGGTAGTCCTGCTGATGTGCAATCAAGTTGTGAACTAATAAAAGGAGCTTTATCTCTGTTTATATGGTTGTCATTAGGTTATAATATCTGAGTCATGCTTCGAAGCATAGAACCAAATAACTCGACTTTTTCCACATTTACATCAAACGATGGTAGATATCATAGAAATGGCATGGTGTTTCAATTATGAGCTGCGTTTTCGTCTTTCCATTTCTCTTCAGTATCTTGATTTCCTTCTCGCCGTCCAAAGGTAGGATGCTTATCATGACTTTTTTTTTTTCTTATTCTTTTTACATATCACATTTAATCATGTTAACTCAATTATGGTAATGTTTTTCTGTAAATCTATATTTCCAACCATAGATGAGATAATAAATCAAGCCTTAGACCTGAAAATTTTGGTGAAACATGAATTTCATATAGTTAAATTCAATCGAAGTTCCTGATGTCTTCTTTTATTCCTGAAATGAAATGGGTCCCTTACTTACCAAGGCTGTTAATCTTGCCATTTTTTTTCATCTATTTTTAAGCTTCTGTATGTGGAAGAGGTGTGATATTATTTTTGCACAAGTATGTAACTCACTGAATAGTATATACGGTCTCTAATGAACCACTTCAACTATGAGTTCTATCGCACCAGTAACTTTCCATTTTGGGGATATAATTGTGTTGGACAATCTATAGCTAGTGGGGTAAAAAATCAAGATTGTCCCAAGGATAGAATGAAAATGTCCCATCTTGTCATCGTTAGCTCAGATCTGGTTATTTACTACATTAGGAGAAGGCCATTGACCTGAAGTATTAGTTGGTTCATTCTGTAAGATCTCTCTCTCTCTCTCTCTCTCTCTCTCTCTCTCTCTCTCTCTCTCTCTCTATTCTCTTGGTGTTTCATATGCTGTGGAACGTGCACTTTGGTCAGCCTTCATTGGGCAATAACACATTCAATCATCTTCTACTAAGAGGAGAATGACATTGTGCTATTTATTTTCTTGCATATCTGGGGTTAGGTTAGTCTCTAGAAGAGACTTTGGTCGTTCCCTAATTTTGTGACCTGAACTATATTTGGTTCCATTTTTAATCGAAGAATATTTTGCGAGTATTTCTTCCTTACCATCAGTTCATAAAGGAGTCGGCTATTTAAATAATCATAAAACCGTCAAATAATACTAGCCGGGACTTTCTCTAGGGTAATACCTTCCTGCCCTATTGGCACGAGTACTATGCAATGTTCAATTTGTTTACCCTTTTTCGAACTTACAATAGTAGGTGCCTTCATCTTGATCTGAAATATAAAGAGGTGTTATGTATTATCAAGCTAGAGGCAATTTCTTGACTCATGGATATTCTCCTTATGCAGAGTCTATGACCAAATGCCCGAGCCAAGGTGGGTGATATCCATGGGAAGCTGTGCAAATGGCGGTGGTTACTATCACTACTCATACTCGGTTGTTCGAGGTTGTGATAGGATTGTGCCAGTCGACATTTATGTTCCAGGTTGTCCGCCCACTGCTGAGGCCCTTCTCTATGGGCTGCTCCAACTGCAGAAAAAGATCAACAGGCGCAAGGATTTCCTCCACTGGTGGACCAAGTAAATGCAGTGTGGTCACTTGACTTTGCAGTCTGGCTCCGTGTTTGCTGAATAATAACTGAACTGGTTTTTTGTGTTAAACTATATGTTCTATGGGATGGCTGGCATGTATTTGGATCCTGATTTGCTGTGTTTTTGTTTTCCGTTGCGACTTGCGCCAAGTGTGACCTTAAGGTTTTTTTTTCCTTACTCTGTTTTGTTCTTCCTTGCTATATTTTGTTCCCCCCCTTTGCCATGTTTATGGTCAGGTGAAGATATATCTCCTGGCAAGATAATTAGGGTAATACGAAAGAATGAAGATCGTGAGAGGGCATGGACCAAACACCATAATTTCACATTAATCAAAAGCATGATTTAATTATCATTTTCTTTAGTTGAAATATCAATTTAATTTTCAGTCTGAAATATTTATATTATTTTAGAATCTAAAAGGTTCCATTATGCTCAATTGACAAATAATAGTCTATTAAAATCCACTACTTCGTAGCTCTCACGGATAAATAATTTTAAATAATAATTATAAATTAAAAATAGAGTAAACAATATTAAATAAATAATTTAAAGATATATATAATATTAGTAATAATTTTAAATTAAAGGTGTGAAGTTAACAAGCGATATAATTTATGTATATCGGTTTGTTGTAAATAATATAAAAATTATATCGGTTGCATGAGAAGGTCTATGTTCAAGATACGCAAAACTTCGAGCTCACAGCTCGGAGGCCTATGTCACAGCTAGGTAGAACTCTGAGCTTGCAGCTCGGAGGCCTATGTCACATCTAGGCAGAACTCCGAGCTCGCAGCTCGGAGGCCTATGTTGAAGCAGGGTAGAACCCTGAACTTGCAGCTTAGGGGCCTATGGTCATGATGACAAATGTTCGAGTGGTTAGTTCGGATGCCCAGGATAAGAGGATGAGAATTTGATACATGTTGTTAAAAGTACATATATATAAGGGTAGAACTCTAAGTCAACAGAGGCCCACGATCAAAAGATTAAAAGAACAAAAAAGAAGTCAAAACACGATCACAATTATAGAACGACTAGCCCAAATCGAATAGCCATAGCATAGATGCCAGAGGCTCACCCCCCATGGGGTCAAAAGACATCATTATGAAAAGGCATTTGGGCAATTCCACTCCTTGGGATTCATGCACGTCGTTTTTTCACGAAATGGTGCAAGCATTAAAACCCACGCGCATTACGAAATGCTTCCACCCCCAACAACTCTTTGTTTCTTGAGGTGGCATCGTTTCACTAGCGGATTGGTACATCTATATATAGACGCAGACCTTACCTATTTTATTTTCACTTTTCAATCAAATATCATCTTCCACGGAGCAATTCATCCGTAACTTCTGCAATTTCTTAAGCTTCGATTCTCGGTAAGATATTTTTTTCAATTTATATAATTTTGTTAAATTCAATGTCTTCTTTCACAAGAAATTTTAGGCACGTCATCCTCGCCGCACGTAGTGGTGACCTAGGAGTCTTTGTTGCTGCACAAAGCGATCGTCGCGGCGTCTTTGCTGCCGCCCAAGACGGCCGACGTGATGTCCTCGTTACACGACGATGTTGACATTGAGTTGGTCGAAGAGACTCTCTGGGGGGATACATGGGGCAGAGAGAGACTACCCCTAACAAGGGGTAATGCTTAGCGGACTTATCCATGAAGGTCAGTGTCGTCGTGCCAAACAGCTTTTGACGTAGACCTGGCCGTGTACGGTCAAGAACCAACTGTTTTGATTAAGGTAATAGGGTTAGCATAATAATTGAAATCGGGGTCGCTAAGTTGAGGGGCTCATATTTGGTTCCCTCAAATGTTCGGATGTTCACGCCCTACTCTGGGTAACGAATCCACAGACTGTCATCGGGCTGTATATTGGTGTTCAAATAGAGCATGGTGTCTGGGCAGATTCCCCCTCCCCTACATTATTACCGAGTATGTGAAGGAGCTCGACATTGGCTTTAGTAAGATTATGCTGAATGATTAGGCTAAAATAATCAGCCTGGTGGTCATGTTTTGTAGGGATGTATAGCCGGACCCGATCGTCGAGGAGATTCGAGGTACCTTCTCGTTTAAGAAGACCAGCATGAAATCATGCTACTTTTATTGTTCAGTCCAACCGGGCATCAACAAAGAACTTGTTACCCGACTCGTGGATACTTTACATGGCTTTCAAAATGAATGGTTGAATGGTTTTGAGTCGGGGAAGATTAGGAAACCCCTGGTGCTGCTAAGCTCAGGGATGGAGACCACGCGTTATCCATTCCGACCAAAATTTTGACAGGAAATTGTAAGTATTTTCTTTTGTTTGTGCTTCGCTTTCTAATCACCTCTGTTCTATGCCAGCAGATCTGCCATTCCAGTTTTATTTTGTTTGTACTTCGCATTTTCAGTTAATGTAGAAGAGAACTGTCACATTCTACATTAACCAAGCGTGATAATAATTTTAAGGGAAAAAAATTTAGACAAACCTGAACTTTCGCGCTTTTTTGGCTTTGCAACCTAATCTTTTAATTTTTATAAAATGCAACCCCAACTATGCGATTTTGATACTGTGCAACCTCAGTCACCGAAATTGGCCGGAAAACTCCTTAAGCGGCGGAGCTGGCAACTTTTGTAAGGGTAAAATTGTAATCTTATTTTATATTTCGGTATATAAATATCACTCTATCCTTCTGAATCCAAAAATCGAATTTTTTCCCCAATTTTTCCCCCAATTCACAAGAACCCTAACCCTAAGTTCTTCAAATGGAGTGGAGGCAAACAACTGAGCATATCATGGAAAGATTTTGCTGTTGCGGAAAAAATGTGGTCACAAGGACGTCATGGACTGACCATAATCCTGGAAGAAGATATGTTTCGTGTGCAAAATACCGGGTATGTTCTTCAATTTTGAATCACAAATTTTCAGTTCAAACGTGGCATTATGGTATGAATTTTTGTTGAACATGCTTAAGCAATGTGTCAGAGAAGGGTAAAATTGTATGTATTAATCATGTGGCGAGCCATTCAGAGAAAGGGGATGTATGTATTCAGAGAAGGGCCTGTATGTATGTATTTTGGTTGAACATGCTTAATTTTACATTCTGATATCAAAAAATTCGTTTAAATGCAGAAGAAGGGGGGTTGTATGTATTTCGCATGGATTGAAAATCCATTGTGTCAAAGGGCTTGCCAAATAATTCCCGGGCTACTAAGGCGAGCAAATAAATTCGAAGATGAGATTCAAATGCTCCAAGTTGATCTTGATGACCAGGAAAAAGAGCAGAAAAAACTATTAGCAAAGATCGAAAAACTTGAGGAGAACATGAAAAAAAGAAGATCTAGGGAGCAATGTTTGTTTGTGATGCTTATTATTTCATGGATTGTAATTTATTGGTTAATGTAGTGATTTGGGACACTATGTTCAGAATCAATGTGTCCAATGTGATGACTTGTGGTTGGATATGCAATGTAATTTGTAGTGAATTCTTGGCTAGAATCATTGTGTTTAATGTAATGGATTGCTTTTGGATATGCAATGTAATGTGTATTGAATTCTTGGTTTAGAATCATTGTGTTTAATGTAATGTATTGTTTTATGCAATGTAATGTAGAGTGATTTTTGTGTTTAGAATTATTGTGTTGAATGTAATGATTTGTGCTTTTGGATTGTACTTTTGGATGATGTTCATATTGTTCAATATGTATGTACTGTTACTAAGACTAACCAAATACATATGCAAGACTTCAATTCTTGGTTTAGTAGAATTGTGAAAACATACATACAAGACCAATAAAAATGAATGCAAAATAGTAACTTACTTAATAGAAGACCTCAAAACATTATGATTGCATTGAACATTAATATCCATCCAAAAAGAACGTTCATTACATTACTTAAACATAACACCATCATCCCAAAACATCATCATCACAAAACATCATCATCCCAGAACAACATACATCACAATCAGAACACTATCATCAATAAAACAGAACACCACATCAGCTTTTACTTTTTTTTCCCATCCACAATATGATTAACAGAGGATCTTCCTTTTTGAGTGGAGAAAGTAGCTCCTTGAAATACCCCAGGTGGCTTCCAAAGTGTTTTCTTTCGGTTGTTGACGTGTCCAACAGTTGGCTTCTTTACGTAAAGATAGTATGTCAATAGTAAAAGAAAAATAAACCCATGCAGGAAGATTAAATAATGAAAATAGCATTGTAATCCAAGTTTTTTCACCTAAAGATAGTATGCCAACAGTTGGCTTCTTTACCTAAAGTTTTTTCTTGTTTAATCCAAGTGCTTTGTTGGTTTTTGGTGTCTCAACTGTCTTACTTCTTGTCACATGTACACTTGACTGTATACTTGACTGTGTTATCTCCGTCCTGCTTCTAGTCATAGGTAAACTCAACTGCAAGGCAAATCATAGATTATGAAACATACAATTTAAAGGTATCATTCTAGAGATTGTCTGTAAGTCTGATGATTACCTGTAAGTTTGATGATTGTGAACCTTGTGCATGATAGACAACAGACTCTTGAGATTGTCCACAATTGCCATCACTTGTCTCCTGACTTGTCTTCATCTTCTTTACCTACAATAAATATTGCATATAAGACATTGAACACATAAAAAGTAAGATAAATAAATCAATATATACTATACAAAAATTATAAGTAAATTAACCTTATTGTCTGCCTCAACTGTATGTGGGTTGTCTTCCTTTTTGAATGGACATCCCCTCATGTTATGGTTCTTTTTGTGACAAAGGGAACATTTCAAAGTGGTCCCTTTTTGTCTAAGCTTAACTTCAACTTTCTTTGTTTTCCCTTCTCATGAACCTCATCTGGACCCCTCTTTCTGTTGTACTTTTTTTGTCTTCCAGGAATTTTATGTTGGAACCCATGAGGATCTCGATATGCACAAATCACGGACAAACATTCAACATA